CAGAATAGACACTATGTGTGATAGAGAAGAAAAAAATAAAGCAAGCAAAACTAGGTAATCTTAGTGCCTTTCTGGACCACTATGCTACTTCAATATCATCTTGGGCAGAATAGACACTATGTGTGATAGAGAAGAAAAAAATAAAGCAACCAAAACTAGGTAATCTTAGTGCCTTTCTGGACCACTATGCTACTTCAATATCATCTTGGGCAGAATAGACACTATGTGTGATAGAGAAGAAAAAAATAAAGCAACCAAAACTAGGTAATCTTAGTGCCTTTCTGGACCACATTTTGTTACTATTACAGCCTGGAAATTAAATAATCAAAAACTTCTACATAACTAATGCAGGTTTAAAACATGATATTCCTGTACATCACTTGTACATTCGTGAAGCATACCCGTATTCCATTGTAATGCTTACAAGTTTTTTTGTATTTTTTTTCTGCAAAAATTACTCTCTTTGTTTCTCAAATTAACATTTAAATAAAACATCAAAATCTAGGCTGTCCATTAGGAACCACAAGTAACATACATTGAAACTATATGTAACATGAGTCCCGGTCAAACAAACACTTGATGTATATTTATATTGATTACCCTTATGCACCTTTCATTACCTTTCTCAAGGTTAAATGTTTGCTTACCCTTATGCACCTTTCATTACCTTTCTCAAGGTTAAACGTTTGCTTACCCTTATGCACCTTTCATTACCTTTCTCGAGGTTAAATGTTTGATTACCCTTATGCACCTTTCATTACCTTTCTCGAGGTTAAATGTTTGCTTACCCTTATGCACCTTTCATTACCTTTCTCGAGGTTAAATGTTTGCTTACCCTTATGCACCTTCCATTACCTTTCTCGAGGTTAAATGTTTGCTTACCCTTATGCACCTTTCATTACCTTTCTCAAGGTTAAATGTTTGCTTACCCTTATGCACCTTTCTCAAGGTTAAATGTTTGCTACAGTTGAAGATAAATCGGTGTTTCTGTGTTTGACAGTCTTCTTCATGGCTATAAATCAGCAAAAGTAAGATTTAACAAACTGACATTGAAATTGTACAAAAATGTTTAATTATTCTGTGAAGACTGCAATTAAGAAAACATAAAATGTAACAAAGTTGATCAAATATTTAAGTTAAAAACAGCCTTTGAGTGGATTGTGATGTAAGGTTTTATTAGTGCAGTTGTCTGTCAAATTGAAGGAAATGTAACCTTTAAAAACTGAATTTTTTTGTGACAATAAGTCGAAGTAGCAAAAGTTTCAAGTAATTTACTGTGTTGCATATTTTTGTATCATATTCTATGTACAATACAGTTTCACTTGAAGAACATGATCCACTATTTGGATTTTTGTAATGATATAAACTTTTTATTATTATGAAACTCTTCTGTGTGTACGGTGTATCAGAATCCTGAATGTTCGATTTTTTTTTTGGTTTAATTGAAATATGCATTAATAATCACAAATACAGAGCATTCCATATAATATACAGGAAGGTGCTGGTTGAATATCATGTACAGGAAGGTGCTGGTTGCATATAATATACAGGAATGTTGTGATGGCTATAAAGTAGATGGAGTTCTAACATACTCTAAGCAACACAAGATGAAACCATGGGTACTTTTGTATATATATATAACCATTAACTTTATATTCAGGCATCATTTTCTCTGCATGTCGCAAGGTTTTACTGAGTTACATTCAAAATTTAATTAAAGTTCGTTATTATCATGGTATACATATAAACTTGGCATCAAAACATAGATAATTATCCACATTTTAATATGATATAAAAGTTCTTAATTTTAGAAGGCAATATTTTAAACAATCCTCAATTTCCTCTAGTATGAGAAATGTGATATATTTTCTGCAGGCATCCCCTCTTCTCTATTTTTATTCACCACCCCTCCAATAAGTATGAAATTTGATATAAATTAATCATTATAATAGTGTCTTCACTCAGGTGAAGCATAAGTTTTATAGCCTTCAATCTTATTTGGTTGCAGACCCATAAACTAGAAAATCGGATCCCTCTTGCCACGTCCACCGATCACATTCTCTGTTTCTCAGATTGCTAATAGTTCTCTCTGACATTTAATACCATATTATTTATAACCAATAGAAAGCCAAAATGATGTATTATATTACATTGTTTTTTTGTACAGAGAATTGTCTAAAATCGCACAGATGAGTTTAGCTGAATTTTTAATGACTCTTGTTGCATAGTTAGAAAGCCAGAAAAATTGTGATAGTTATAAGACATTGTCTGCTTTTTATGTATTTATTATTCTGTGTTCTTTGGTACATTATTTAATTAAATAAAAAAATATTTATTATAGTAGTACCATTAGTAGAAAAAAGACCTAAATAAGTACTATATTTCTCGTTTTTCATGTGTATTCTTTATTTATTATTAAAAAATACTAAAGTTTAAAAATTAGAAACTTTTTAGGTTAGATTAGGTAAAATATAGAAAACAATAATAATTTTTTTATGAGGTACATTTGCGAGAAAATCATGAGTAGCCCGTGCATTAATAATTTGATAGTGTAACACAAGCTACACATTCTCTAAGTGAGTTACTACTTGTGTAGCATGAATATTAGTTAGACACAGTTCAAAGGGCAATAAAACAATAAAATTTAATTAGAAAAATATTTATACCTTTAAGAGTTCAATACTATTTGAAGTCATTCAAAAAAAAGAAAGAAAAAAGGGGTAATTTAGATTTTTTTTCAATTTTTTGGTGGTTACGAGGTCAGTCAAATTGACCAACCTCATATAGAGTTAGGGTGGAGAAAATAACAGATAAAATATAAAGCTTTACTGAAAAAAAAAGCATTTGAAATATATTTAGGAGGTTTTAGAGATTATGCAAATGAAATTTGAGAATTTTCAGGTGAAGCAAAGTATTATTTAAACTTAATATGAAAATCAATTTTTATTTGGAGCAGTTAACACTAACTCTTTTTATTCATGGAAAATTTTTAGTGATAATACTTTATTAAAATTCAGATTTTTTTGTCCACAAAAGACCTAATGCTTACTGAAAGCTTGCAAATTTTCATGAAGATACACAAAACATATTAGAAATTATAGTATGGAAACTATAAAGGTCAATTTGGGGTCATGAACTTGGCTGATGTGACACATTTCGTTACTTGTTTAATCATCAAATATTAGGAGAGTGAAAAACAACAACATATGAATGATTTTTTTTGGCTCAAGCAGTGTATATGATAACAAATCTCAGATTGTTATTGTATAAAAATTAAGTTCTTTGCATTATATAAATAATATCTCTCTATCTGTCTGTCTGTTTTATGTTGAATTTCAAACAGCTAAGCCTACTTGTTTAAAATTAGCAAATCATCATAAGAAAATAATGTTATATCATGTTCGTTTTTTTTCAGCATGAATTTAAATTTACAATTCAGATAACATAACAATCGTCAAATGCCTGACTTGCATAAAAGTGAAGTGAGAGGTGTTAATACCTGTAGTAACTGGTCAGAGTTGGACCAGTTTAAGTCACTGATCCGAGTAACTACCTGTAGTAACTGGTCAGAGTTGGACTAGCGTAAGTCACTGATCCGAGCAACTACCTGTAGTAACTGGTCAGAGTTGGACCAGTGTAAGTCACTGATCCGAGCAACTACCTGTAGTAACTGGTCAGAGTTGGACCAGTTTAAGTCACTGATCCTAGTAACTACCTGTAGTAACTGGTCAGAGTTGGACCAGTGTAAGTCACTGATCCGAGTAACTACCTGTAGTAACTGGTCAGAGTTGGACCAGTTTAAGTCACTGATCCGAGTAACTACCTGTAGTAACTGGTCAGAATTGGACCAGTTTAAGTCACTGATCCGAGCAACTACCTGTAGTAACTGGTCAGAGTTGGACCAGTGTAAGTCACTGATCCGAGCAACTACCTGTAGTAACTGGTCAGAGTTGGACCAGTTTAAGTCACTGATCCGAGCAACTTCCTGTACTAACTGGTCAGAGTTGGACCAGTTTAAATCGTTATATGAAACAGTAATGTCATTGTGGTATTGTGATATATATATATATATATATATATATATATACACACACACACACACACACACACACACACACACACACACACACACACACACACACACACACACACACACACACACACACAGATATATATTAGAAGGATTGTGTTTTTAAAAGTAAATATAACCCAAATTAAGGGTAACAAGTATTTTGATTTCTTGCTTTTCAAGTTCATATGTCATGCTCTGTTGTATTCTACAGAATGCATAATTCTTCTCATGATTCATGGCATGCACACATTTTACTGAAATCACGACAGTACAAATTGCAACATTAAGCATCCCATGTGTGATATAATTTTAGTGTCTACTGACTGACTAACAGACAATAAATTGTTGTATAGCAGTGTGAGGACTTAAAATAGGTGACTCCTCCAAGTGGCTTTTGGGCAAATCAAGGGCCTACATAATTCGCTTTGTTATGTAGGGTTAATGTGGAATTACTTTTCCCATAAAATAATAATAATCTTAAAGGTGAGTAATTCAAAAGTAAAACCATTTGTATGTTTTATTCCCTCATAATTGTTACCTTTTCTGTTGCTTGCATCATCAGTTTTATATTGTAATTAAACTTTCTTCGTTTAAATATATATATATATTTGTACTGAATTGGAGGAATAAAATTAATTCATTGGCTTTATTAACCTAAACTTTAAAATAATTTCAAAAGTTCGTGTAAACTTCACCCTTGGAAAAATCAGCTATGAAGGTGAGAAAATTGGGGAGATTTGAAGATTTTAGTAAATTAGCAGTACAAAAAAATATAACCTGATTTGTTTTAGAACCAAATAAAATTTTAATTTCAAATACATAGTGCTTATTGACTCTTGTATTCTTTCATTTTTGTTAACGACAGATCGTACGATTAAGTAGAATTTATCTTACAGTTTAGAAAAGCTGTAATCTTAATTAGGTGTGTTTTTAAAAACAGATTTGATGTTTTCAGAAACCAGATCATGTAGTGTGTACTCTTATAGTTAGTTGAACATATGCTGATTTGTAGTTTCATCTCAAATAAATTAAACTTGGAAAACACTTCAGAGGGTTGACAAGTAAGGTAACGACCACAGCCGATAAGAAATGGCAGCGGAAACGTATGAATCAGAACTACATTTTGACATTGTTTGATGTTTTATAGGTAGTGTGATGCTACAAAAAAACATATTGAATTTAGGAAGGGTGTGTAACAGCCATTTTTGATGCAAAATATTCGTACACTCAAATCATAAAGGCTAGAATTTCCAATATTCTTTCTGCTTAATGGCAATGGAAAACAAAAAGAATAGGATCAATTTTGGGCATTAAGACTATCCCGAAAGAAATCTACAACATTTTGTTTTAACCCAGCCAAGGTAAGCACGGAACAGCATCTGGTAGTATAACCTTCCACATTTCCCTTGCAAGAATACAAAACATAATCAAGAAGAATCTTCCTCTGGAAAAGGACACAAGTTACATGTACACAAGCTCCTTCCACAACATATCCGTTCAACTGTCCCATACTTGAAGCAGCTGGAGATTGAAGTGGTATTTATGCTATTTCATACAACTGGTTAAATTGCCAGGTGCCGTTTCCGTGGATTTCTGTGCAAATGGACCGTTGAAACAAGTACTAAGAAACTATTGTGTGTGTGGATGTGTTCTGGGAATGATAGTCTTACAACAGTTTTTTGTAATGGAAAATAAGATTCAGGGCTGTATTGTCCAGATGTGTGGTCATCAGATAGTGTGACATGGTATGGTAAGGCTGTAAAATACTTTTAATATAACATACTCAATCTCTGTATGCTATATTCCCAGTTGCATCCAGGTCACACCAGTGAACACATTAAACTTAGACATTGATATCTGATTTTTATTAATTTCAGGTTGTGTTAGACGTTTGAAGTTGGGCCGTTATGTACAGGGAGTTTGAAACAGGATGCCTGAAAGAAGTGTGGGACCACCAGATGATTAGAGATACAATGGTATCAACATGCTACAACCTTTTATTTACCAAGGACTATTAATACCATTGTCACCAGAACTTCCTCTTCACGTCTCAGCCAGAACAACGGAGACTTCGCTGTAGATAGGGCCGAACTGATTTACTGTTTGTAACTTAGTGGGTGTAGGTTGTTAAAATGTGTGACTTGCTAATCATGTATTAAAGTACTGATATACCAGTTGTGTGTGTGTGTGTGGGAGGGTAAAGGGACATTTATATATTTACACAGCTAGTACATGAAAACTGACTATTCTTAGAATTTTTCTTCCTTTTGTGTGATTACAACTGCATACTTGGCACCTAAAAACTGTGCCTTTTGTTCACTAATTGGATGATTGTTAATATTGTAGACAACTTTGTTGACGACATTATACAGGGCTGTAAGCTCCAATTGCAGTTTTATATGTATTGCCATTAACTGTGAATATGTTTTGTTTGAAATGAAACTACAGTTATTCATTGTTAATTATCTAAAGGACATCTGTCATTATTAAATAGTTTGAAATTAAAGAAGTTGTGGAGTTTTACGTGTTACTGAAATCTTAAATGAGAAAGATTTACATTCAATGCGACATAATTTTTCTTCAGGATTTATTTTAATTTTTTTCCAATAATAAGTTGCTAAGTCAATCCTGATTTATTTTATTTTTGAGCTAAACAAGTTATGTTCCTTTAACTCTCATGGTACGGGAGTTTGATACCTGCCAGAGCACAGGCTCTGCTCTCTTCAGTTGAAATTATGTTCGAGATATTTTGTTTTTATGGTGTAAGATGTTTTGTAAATTTGAACTTCTGATTAGCGGACCCTGTATGGTAAACATGTGATCTGAAAACTGTTGATTTATACAAATCTTTCTCTAAGTATATTACATGTTACTCATGATTAATTAGAAGAATGTCATAATTCCATAAGGTGACACTATTTACAGAAGTAGGATTTATTAATTTTTAGTGTACGATAAGAAAATGAATCCTTAATTTATTTTCATTTAGCACAAAGCTACATATTGCAATATCTGCACTGTGCTAGAAATTCTAGCATTATAAGCCCTCCAGCTTATCACTGAGCCACCTGGGGACAATATAAGCGTGTCAGTAAAGACTTTGAATAAACTAAACAATAGAATGAAGTGGCATTTAACATTTTTCATTTATGGCCATAATTTGATATTGAAATGTTTGTGTATTACACCTGTCTCTTAATGGTAAAACTTCCCTTGTACATTTCTGTAAACTCTGTCATAGTTATCTTCTGAACTCTAGATACATATAGGTATGTTAATCAGGATATGCACGAACCAATTGATTTTCACGACTTTATCACCACAGTAAGGTTCCAAGAACTGGTACGGTGATAACTCGTGGCCTACTGGTACCGTGATAAACTCGTGACATACTGGTACCGTGATAAACTCGTGACATACTGGTACCGTGATAAACTCGTGACATACTGGTACCGTGATAAACTCGTGGCCTACTGGTACCGTGATAAACTCGTGGCCTACTGGTACCGTGATAAACTCGTGGCCTACTGGTACCGTGATAAACTCGTGGCCTACCGGTACCGTTATAAACTCGTGGCCTACCGGTACCGTGATAAACTCGTGGCCTACCGGTACCGTGATAAACTCGTGGCCTACCGGTACCGTGATAAACTCGTGGCCTACCGGTACCGTGATAAACTCGTGGCCTACCGGTACCGTGATAAAACTCTGGGCTAACTCATAAGTGAACAAACAGTTTTCCATTAGACTAACTACAATGCTAAATTTTACCTGAATGAATTCTAAGCAATAACTAGCAGTGGGTCTTGGTTATCCAACACACACATATCACTAATGGCAAACCAGTTCACATGTAGTCTACGTCAGCATCAAAATACTACCAAGATGTTAAACACTACACGATGTTGGAAACGTACGTGTATAAAGGTACATTACATCAGCTGAACAAGACTTTTACAAGTAAGGTGTTTCTATATTAGTGAAATCTAAATTAGAAAAATTGACATAACTTGTAGATTATTTAGAAAGAAAAAATAATAACCTTACCATAATGCGTTGTACATGGGTTTCTAAAACAAATAGATAAACATACACATTAACTAATATAAGTAATATTACACATTCACAAAGAGAGAGACAGAGAATGTTGATCTAAACAGATATTTTACTGGTGAAGACAGTAGTAGTAGTATTGGTTCCATTATGGTTGGGCCAGGAACTTGCTGAACTTATAACTGGACTGAAAATAATCCATGTTTATTTGTTTTTTTCATCAAAGGGCCCTTCCAGTCCAATAACAGACTACAGAGTGTTTCAAAGTATCCTGTACACTTCCACAAAAATTGTGTCACTCACAAGAAAAGCATACAATTTACATAAATTAAAAAAAAAACAGAAAGAAAAGAGCAGAATATATGATTTAACAAGTAGAGGTGTTTTAGAATGATATATGAACTTCTGAATGAAACAAAACCACACTACATATGCCATATTCTGTGCCAAACGAACCTTTCACTCAATACCAAGACTCGTCAGACCAGCTGGTATACAACGTACCTTTTAATGGTAAAGATCTTATTTATATCGTCAGTTGATTGAACAACAAGTGTTTCAGTGTGAAGTAATTTTTGTAAATTTATTTAATTCACTACTATCATTTCGTTGAGCCCACAACAAAAGAAATACAAAATCAGTAGGAACATTTATTTTATTTTGCATAAGTTGTCTAGATATGGGATGACCTTCAGGGAAATATTATGGTTTCCTCTGATTGACTATTATAAGATACCAACTCTAATTAAAACTAAAAATATGAGATAGACTTTTAACCAGTATAATGTGAATTTGGTCTTCGAAGTAAAGAACGTATCAGTTCTGTAAGTCTAGAATTGATGTTTGTGGAAGGAAAAGACAAATAAAGAAAACATTATACTACTGAAGTTGCTATTATAACTTAGCATTAACACATAGCTTACCATTGTACACAACCTCAGAGTAATAATACTTTCATATTTTGTTCATAAAAACGCACACAGTCATGGTTATCACATCTATCGTGAACTTTCATTTTAAACAACCACGTATTTGGTAATGACTGTTGCAATAGAATATTTTTATTATGAGAGATAGAGAGTACAGTGTTTTGTTAGCATCGTGAAAACACCCTGAGAGACATAGTGTAGAAGTCATGTAAATATATCCTACCATTATAACAGGTATTGTTTTACATGTGATGTAAATATATCCTACCATTATAACAGGTATTGTTTTACATGTGATGTAAATATATCCTACCATTACAACAGGTATTACTGTATATGTCATGTAAATATATCCTACCATTACAACAGGTATTATTGTACATGTGATGTAGCGAACGCAGTAAATGTACCCTACCATTACAACAGGTATTACTGTACATGTCATGTAAATATATCCTACCGTTACAACAGCTATTCTCGTACAGATGATGTTTTCAAGGCATGAAGGTGTACGTCCACATGTACAGTAATACCTGTTGTAATGGTAGGATATATTTACATCACATGTACAACAATACCTGTTGTAATGGTAGGATATATTTACATCACATGTACAGTAATACCTGTTGTAATGGTAGGATATATTTACATCACATGTACAGTAATACCTGTTGTAATGGTAGGATATATTTACATCACATGTACAACAATACCTGTTGTAATGGTAGGATATATTTACATGACATGTACAATAATACCTGTTGTAACGGTAGGATATATTTACATCACATGTACAGTAATACCTGTTGTAATGGTAGGATATATTTACATCACATGTACAGTAATACCTGTTGTAATGGTAGGATATATTTACATAACATGTACAATAATAATTATTGTAATGGTAGGATACATTTACTGCGTTCGCTACATCACATGTACAGTAATACCTGTTGTAATGGTAGGATATATTTACATCACATGTACAGTAATACCTGTTGTAATGGTAGGATATATTTACATCACATGT